AAAAAAAAAAAACGTATGGTCGGTAACGTTTTTATTTTAGTTTTTTTAGAAATTATTTCTTATAAGTTTAAATGATATTTTGGTTTTTCTGTTTTTATCTATGGTTCATTCTCATCTTTAAACCGGGAAGATATCCAACTAAATGACATCATTTTATTTTTTTAGCCCATTATTGCCGGCTCATTAATTGGTAATCATTGGGGTATTTTTCTTTCCAACCTTCGACGTAATGGAATAGTCAGAGTCTAGAATAGCCCTGTGGAGATTTTTCACTTTTATGATGTAATAAAGAGCTCAGCGAAAAGATCAAGCAGAGTAAAATTATCTTTCAAGAAACCTAATTTTCTTGTTCTTTGTTTATGTGTTTCTTGACATTAAATGTTGTAGGATAAGACTATTGTCCTGCGAGATTAAATCAAATGAAAATGAAAATAAATGGACTTAAATAGTCACTTTTTAAAAATACATGGATCAAAATGCACCAAACCTGAAAACCAATGCAAAAATAATATTTAAACTAAAAAAAAGTTTTTCTTTTCATCTATAATTTTTGTGTCTCATCTTTTTAGTCAATCTACCGTTCATAAATAATAATGAATTTATATTTCTTGATCTTAATGACTATTTTAATMATACAGTTATATAATTTAGGTATGAATTAATTTGAGATCCTTTTCCAAAGGGACCTATCCTATTAAACATTGATGAACAAAATTATGTTTATTTAATTTAAATTTTGTTAGTTTTAGGCAAATTTGGAAACCATTTCCCCATTTCAACTYGAACAAGTCAAATAATTAGGTCATCAAATATATTGGGGTAAAGTATTGTGAGGCATACAATTTCATATTATAATAAATGTCTGGCCAAGGTGCTAAAATTCTAGTTAACCTACCAACTACCTTGTGCACTTTGAAGGTTAAACTTTTATTCAATTATTATGCTAAAAAAAGAGCATTCTTTTGTACACAATTATTATTATTCAATTTTAGTAGGTTCAGCCTCCTTCCCACCTTGACCCCAAAATTAACGTTTTTCTAATGTATATTTTCAAGAAGAAAAATACTAAAAATTATTGAATAATTTCATGAAATCAATGGCTAAATTTAACTGAAAATGTTTATTCAGTTATGTATTAATTAATATTTAAATATGAAACACAACCAATTTTAATATAAAAAAATGACATTCCACTCAGAAAAATCTACAAACCTTTCAATTYGGAGAAGAAGCAATCAACTGACATCAAAACTCTAGATATTTCCACGACACGAGCATTATTTATAGTGAAAATTAGCATTATTTATTGTTAAGGTAGAGGTGAGAGTCGTGATTCTCATTCACAAATTTGCAAGTTTAAATTTTCACTTATCATATTATATATATATATTTTTAATAACATTATCATACATATTTACATATTAAAATGAATGTTTATTGATCCTGAGATATATATTCATATATATATAATACAACAAAATGTGAAATGGATTTAAATTTTGGATCTCAAAAGAAGGAGTAAGATGTTAACTRTTGAACTACSTTTATATTGACATCAACCAATGATACTAAAATAAAACAATAAAAAGTGATATTCATTTAAAAAAATGTAGATATAACTATAAGAAACACATTTATATAAAAAAAAACATGGAAAAAAATAAGAGATAAGTTATGCAAGCAGTTCATTGAATTTTATTTTATTTTATTTCTAAAGAAAGCATTTAAAACATTTTAGAATATTTAACAAGTTCTTGAATTTAAAAATATTTTATCTAATAGATACTTAAAGTTTAATGTCTAATTAATTTTGGAATGTTAAATTTTGTATCTAATTGAATTGAAAAAATCTATAATATATTTTGAAAGCTCTAGATACCTTTTTAAAGTTAAAGATAAAGATCAGTTAAACAAAATCCACTTAAAATCTTTTAGGTTTTGCATGCATTCGTTTCCAAACAGGGGGTTTCAGAATTCTCRTCTAAGGACCCACTATACGCATAGCCAAACAAGAGCAATTGCATAACCGGGGCAGGAGAAATGAAGAAGCCGCGCGTCCAAACACAATTCGATACAAACGAAGAGGAACGAGACGACGCTACCGAACAAGCGATCTATAAAATCGTTTTGTTCGCMATTTGAGGTTTTTCACAGTCTTTGTGCTCTCCGGCTTCATATCCGYTCTCTCTTTCTCTTTTCATAAACAATTTCTCCCAAATCTCAGATCTCTCTGTCACTCTCTCCCAAAAAATGTTCTCCGTCGCTGGATCTTCGGTTTCCATGCCCTCCCTCTCCGCCTCTTTCAAGCAAATCCAGGTAAATTTCGTCTCCTCCGCTTTTTAGTTCTCTTTTACGCCTCTTTGTTGTTAATTCCGGTTACTTTTGGTCGAATCTTTGTAATTTGSTTCTATGAATCTATAGATTTGCGTGATTTACTTTTGCCAAGTGTTTTTCAGGATCCGGTTTGTTTTCTCTTAAAAGTTTTGGAAACTGTATTTGTTTGTTTGGTCCCTTTGATTAAAGATGCAGAATACTTTTTGTTACGGTTTCTTTCTTTCGACCGATGATTCTGATAACTGTGAACAAGTGAGCTTTAAAATGGTTAAGGATCCGACTAGATTGGATTCGGTACCCGGATTATAGATCTGATTGCTTCTATTTCTCGTCCATGAGTTTCGCCGTCGGTTTTGATTGTAGAAACATATTTTTGGTTGTTTATTGTTGAGAAATCTTATTCAATTTTCATATTTATTTTTGCTCTCTGTGTATTAATTCTTCTGCTGGAATTTTCTAGCAGGCGTCTAGCGGCAGGATCTCAAGTTTGAAATTAGTTTCCGTGCCTTTCGGCAGAGCAAGTTATCCCTTGCAGAGGAGTTACAGGCAAGGACGCCTTCAGGTTTGCTGTGCGGTAAGTTTCCTCATACCATATCTTTTGTGATTTAACTAAAGTTTTTCTTCTTCGATTTTGATACCGAGAGTTTCAAGCATATTTGTTACTGTGTGTGATTCTTACTGTTTCAAAACTATTTTCGTTGGCTCATATGGTTTTCTCTGAAATTGTTGCGACAAAGTCGAGCAATAATTATTGGCCAGTTACAAATCAACTTAATTAAACAGTATATCAAGTACTAGCCCCCATATGCTCGCACCAACCTCTACATGGATGTTCACTGTCTGTGATTTATGGATCTTTCTGTTTCTGCTTCTGCTGATTGTGATCGTGGAGATATGAAGATAAGATTTCATATTCACTAAAAAGAAAATAGATATAAAAGAAGATGAAAACTGCCGGAACAAATCTGCATATTGATAGCTGTTGATGAGTTGTTTTAGCTTGTCATCACATTTGCGTTTATTCCACTTATTTAAAACCAAGAAGAATCCAAAAATGAATGGTCCTCAGAACTCATACTATTTGGTCCATCGTCATGTGTTGCTTGTGAGATTATGTTAGAGCCTCAGAAGTGGTAATGATGAGTATATTTCTGCTTTTTTTCTTTTTCACTTATTTAATATATTATTATTATTATTTAATTTTATAACCTACATTGTATTCAAATAGAGGATGATTTCTTTCCTTTTCTGCATCCATATGTAAATTCTAACCACATGAGAATAGCTCAACGCATATAACTTTTTCTCTAGAGGTCGGAGGTTCAAATCCCCATGCCTTATATTTGTTTACATCTTCTGAAACTCTTGGACAGGCTAAACCAGAGACCGTGGACAAGGTGGTCGAAATCGTGAGGAAACAGCTTGCTCTAGCTGCAGATTCTAATGTCAATGGCGAATCAAAGTTTTCTGAGCTTGGAGCTGATTCCCTTGATACGGTAACAAATTTCTACCAAATATCGTGCTTGCGTCTGTTCTTACTTGTGATTGTGAAATACATTTTAGAATCTTCCCATCATCTCTTTAAATTCTCTCTTCAAACTTGTCTTTGTAAAATTTCTCTCTGACCCATCTCTCCCTATATTTTTACTCTATTTTCTTTTTCCTCTCTAACTCTGTCATCAATTAGCTTAATTTGAAAATTCAAAGAGTATTTGCTTTTTATAATTAAAAAACTAAGACTATTTTTTGTGTCAAATTAGAGAGAGAAAAAAAAAATTCCTAACAGCATTTAAAAGGATTCTTCATAAGTAAGTATCCACAAACAATTTTGGCCGCCTAATGGGGACAAAAGGGTAAATTCGAWAGATTTGGTCTTAAGCTTTTTTACCATCCCCACAAATTATTAAAAGTTATACCGACCTTTTTGAAACCACATTTTGAATAGTGTGTTTWTGATTTTTTTTTTCTTTTTTTATCAAATAAATGAACTGAAGTTGTACTAATATTGGGAACTAAAATAAAATAATTAAAAACTATAGACTTTTTTTTCCAATAAAAAGTAAATGGAAGTATGATCACACAAGAGATGTTTATTTTTTCTGTGAGGATGGGGCCGTGGGGAATCTGTTTAGATTCTTATTCTTCGGAGGGCAAGGATGGCCTACATGTTTTTCCGTCCCCATTCTCTGCCCGACCACAATTTTTCTCTGTTACCTAAACTGGGATGGGAGATGTGTGTGAAAGAATTAAACCATGAAGTTTTATGGTGGATAATTAAGCCATTAATAAGAAAAACTATTTAGTTAATAAATAGTTTTAAAAATTGAAAGAATAATGGGAAAAATTTTCTCCTCGTGAAAGTTCATGGAGAATTTTGTGGGATAGGTGATTAAATAAGAGGCAAGGACGGGAAGGCCTAGGATTAGTATTTTGGTTGCACTTCATAATTAATTATAACCAAGGTTGATATCGATAGAAATGTAGGTCTCGATTTCATAGAAATATCYATAAAATATTATAGATATTTCTATATTAGTTAAAAAAAATTAAATTGTAAAAATATTTAAATTAACAAATAAACTTTTTTTTGTTCTAAATTAGTAAAAAATAATTAATATTAATATTATGTATATATTAGTGATATTTTATTGATATTTTTCATATTTTATCAATTTTTTTGAAATATGATGGAAATATTAATTTACCGCTCATATTAATATGGAACTCGAGGAAACATAGAAATGTCGACACAGCATGATTATAACCTAAAATTATTGTTAATTTATTATATTCGTTTTTAGGTTGAGATTGTGATGGGTCTGGAAGAGGAATTTAAGATCAGTGTGGAAGAAGAGAGCGCCAGTACCATCACCACCGTTCAGGACGCTGCGGATCTGATCGAGTCGCTCATGGCTCAGGATGACGATAATAAGTCCGCTGCTTAATTTTCCCTCCTCATTTTATTAGAACATTTTTCATTTAGCCCTCTCTCGCTCTTCTCTCACCTCCATACTCTTTCGAGTTTAGCTAGCTTCCATGCTCCCTTGTTCCTCCTTTTCTTTTGTTTCCATTTTTACCCCTAAACTTTCTTAAAATATCTATAATGTTGGTGGATGGGCTCATAAACTAAAATCGATGCGTGATAATTTTGAATCTATTCTGTGCTTCCTTATTTATTTTCTTTAGTAATTAGTGAAGTTTCCACAATGTACCAGACGACTGTATTCTCCTGCCAGATTGCTGTGTTTTCTTATTGGTAAAATTTTATTTAGGTCTTTTTTTTTGTAATGTTTCTGTTTACTTTTTAGTTTTATTGAGAAATTTTGGGTCCATCTAATTGGTGATTTAAAGATATGTGTTTATAACATAAAAGAGTATGATTTAATGGAAAATAAGATTGTATTAAGATATGTGTTTATTTGAAAATTGAATAATATAATATTAAATAATTCATAACTAATATAACATWAAGAGTATGTTTATCAAAGTTTTATTTCTTTTGAATGCAATTCGAACATTTTAAAGTTCTAAATTTATTGGAAAACATTAAAAACATAAAAATATTATTTWCAAAAGTCTCACTGAATTTAGTAAATCATATTACCAAAAAGTGCAYTTTGAGGTATTAGCTAGTAGCTATTTTTCATTTTTAATTTGCGCATTTATTTATTAAAGCATTCCTTTGTTTTATAAATCTAATTTAGCAAAATTTTAGCTAAATTTTAAAATATTAGAAAATGATTTTAAAACATTTACTTTTTGGAATTACATTAGAAAATAATCAAGAAAAAATACTTAGATATAAATAGTTAAATAATTTTAATTTAACTTTTAGAAATAAAAAAGTAAGAATAAAGTTAATCAAATGGTATCTGATTCGATTTTTATAATCAAACTTTGTTATATACTTTAAATCKTCGTACAAAAATTTCAAAAAGAATAAGCTCTCAAAGAACATAAAAACAAAAGTAGACTTGACCTAGAAAAGTATATTTAAAACCCAAAATTTGGAGGGGAAAAAAATGCTCGTATGGAAAACCAAGAACGAAATCAAAAGAACAAGAAATCAGATGGGCTCCATGAAAAACAAAATGAGATCTTTTTGAATTTTTTACTCTAAATTAGGAGGGGTTTTTGGTTTCTAAGTGTATGACTAAAGTTGCACGGTCAAGTCTATAATTATCTTAAGCTATGATTATTAATCTCACCAAATATGTAGATTCGAACTCTCTAAAATTTTTACAAATGAAACATAAACTACACAATTGTGAGTCATTCGATTTCTTTTGTTAGTCATTCTACTACAGGCTAAACCATCACACAAATAGTAAGCTAAACATCTAATTACTACAAGTTTTGTTTGTCAATTAAGCATAGATGGAAAAAAAAAAGTTTCACAAGAGTCATATGTAAACATTTAGTAAATTTATTTGATTGATATATTCAACTAATTAATAGTATTATTAACTAATATTAAAATATAATTTATCAATGCTTTAACTAAAATAATTACCCTTTGAAAGTTGAATCTCCCACCCCACCATTATTCCTATTTAACTAAAAGTCAGTAATAAATTTTAAAATCGAATTAATCATCAAGAACAACCAATTAATGCAAAAAAATTTACTAAACTCAAAAGAATAATAACGAATAAAGCAATTTATTGSCACTCAATATTAATTAACTCTCCCGTGGGCTGTGTCCCCCTCAATCACGTGACRAAGCCAATTCTACTTAATGCCCTACAGTAACTTGGCAATAAGTAAAAGGGGGAAATGGCATGGACATTTTAATTACTCGTGTCGTTTTTCCCCCACCGAACCTAAACTCAACACGAATAACCAAATGCCATTTTGCAAGTTGTCACAAAATATACATAATATATTGATTAACTAATATATAAAAATATATATTATATAGGCAAAATATACATAATAGTGCTTAACCTTTTCAGTAACTATCAATTTGATCTTGATATTATTTTTTYTAATTTTAAAGAAAAAGTTAATTGATGATTAACCTTCTACTCGGCATAAAGAAAGTTCAAGAATGATTTTAAATTTTTCATAATTTGAAATCTAAGGAATGATTTTAATTTTTTATGTTGTTTGGAATGGGAATGATTTGAAAGAAATTAAATTAAATTTCTTTTGTTTGGATGATTTATGAAAAGAAAAKAAAATAAAAATTTTACTGATTTAGACTTTTAATCTAAATTTATTGRTTAGAAATTAAAATGAAACAACTAGGTAATTTACTTTGAAATTTTACGAAATTCTACAAAATCCGACCATTTTGGTATGAAAATCTTTTTATACAAAAATAAGATTTGAAATCCATTCAAAATCATAAAGTACCCAACAACAAAATTCATTTGAAATTCTTCGAAACCTAAGGTAGGAAACAGAGCATAAATTTTTSATTTATTAACRTTTATAATTTGGATGCTATTTGAAACATAAGATCCAACTAGTTTACWSTGGCATATCCATATAAAAAAAACATTAAAWWWWTTTTTTWAMMAAWTTWAMCCMAAAAAWTYMARRMYTWAWTKRRRAWYTTTAAARCTTAATTGAAAATTTAAAAGATTAAAAGTAAAATTAAGAATTTTCTACCAGATTAGAGACTATACACAGCCTATAAATATGACACTTAATTCAAAAGAATATATAAAAATAATAATAATAATAATAATAATAATAATAATAATAATAATAATAATAATAATAATAATAATAGAATGAATAGATGGGAGGGAAAGACATTGATAATGACAAGAGAAATGAGACAAGGAGGGCTTACCTAAACAGCACTATTCAGAAAACATATTGATTGGTGAACAYGTGACTCAAAATTTTCTAACTTATACAMCTAATTCACAGTTGGTGTGCATCACATGCACAAGGAATCAAGTTTTGCAATCTGATTCAAACCCATGTGCCACCAAATTCACCCTCCTCCTACTCACACTAAGAAAAACAAAATCTAAGGGCTGACCTAAGTTTTAAATGAACAGATAGAAAGGAGAATTACCCCTAGTTTGTCTTAGATCCAAAATCGACCCAAAAGTTTATCTTCTAAATTTACTATTTYTAATTTTTATATTTGAAAGGATTAATATGGATAAGAATTCAATTRATTAAGGGATATATTCTCGACAAAAAAATTGAAAGTTTGAATTCACACCCTACCCATCCTAATTAATATCGGTTTAGAATACAAGGTTGAGTGCCTAAAATAGTGTAGATATTCTCAAGATTGTGAAGTTCTAATTTACTCTTTTTAATTTTTAGAATTAAAAGCTTAAATATGTGAAGTGTTAGGAGGACAKAATCTTAACTATGATACCATATTAAATCACCTAACAATCTAATTTAAGTTTATGGTTTCAATAAATTTAATGTTTTATACATACCTCAATAATCTATCCCATCAAACCTCGCAGATAATGCAGGTTTAAAACATAGTGTTGAGTGCCTAAAATGACTGCAAATATTCCCAATGATGGCAGAAAATCAAGCAGCTCATACAAAAATAGAGACTGAAATACTATGCYATATATCGCTTATATAGTACAAATGATCTGAATTCTCCCTGCAATAATTCAACCGAAGAAGCTTAACTAAAGAGTACTATCTTCCATATACTCAAAAAAATGAAAATTGAAGAAAAAAAGGTGGGAAACATAGGGGATGTGATGAATCAAGTGAAGTACAAGTCCACCAGTTGAACTTGTTTTTGCAGAAAGACATTTTTGGGACTCAATGTAACGGCAGAGAGAAGAGAAATAGTGCTGAGCCAGCAAGAAGAAGGAGCGAATTTGAATACCAAGGCAGGGCTGTGGGCGGTGCGAAGGAACCTGGAAGCCCAAATGGCGAGAGGGCCGAGGGATCGGGGGCGGGCGCCTCGAACTCGTCTGGATTGGGAGGGCTTGGGTTGGAGGGAATGGTGGGAATGGAGCCAGTTGCAGAAGGAATGTTACCGCCTGGAGAGGGCAATAATGGAGCAATTTCAGGGGAGAGTTCTTGGAAAGGGGAGATGGGTTGTGGAGAATTGGTGGTAAAAAGTGATGGAGAGGCTGAGATTATGGTGGAGGATTTTGGATTGTGTAGAGAGTCAGATGGTAAAGCTAGCAAAGTTGAGGCCATGAAAGCCATAATGAGTGCTGAACAATACCAAAAGGAGGCCATTCTAATGATGATGAAATCAGTGGGACTCTCACTGGAGAGTGTAATATATTCGTGAAAACTGAAGGGTTTTTATTTCAAGAAAAGAAAAGAAAAATATTTTTCCCTTCCTAAGCTGCAGAAACTCGAGAGGATGATGGTTTAGGTTTAGGGGCTTTTTTTGCTTSAAATGATGATGCGGGACCTATAAAATGGGAGAATGGAGAAGCCAGGTGGGCCAAATTCCACGTGGCTGGTGGTAAGTGGATGATGTGGAGGGAATACAGGTTGTAATGTTTAGGGAAGCGACAAAAGATTGATAGACTTTTTAAGCTGCGGCTTGTTTGTTAGCTGATGATTCCTCTTTAACCCGTGATATTGGTTCTCCTTAATTTACGATAATTCAGATCCTAAACTCCAGTCCAGTTGATCACAACTTTACTAAAAATATTAATTTCACTTACCACTCTGATTACTGCGCTCTCTCTATTCTAATTACTTGAATTTCAATGATTAATCCGAATCCCACCTCTCAAACTTGTTGAACAGATCTGTACTCGGACATGGAAAGATCAAGCACAAACGCACAGACAGAAGTTTACCAAATTGAGGAGATGCCAAGAAAAAGTCGGCTTGAATATGCATTTTCAGAGGGCACCGAGAAAAATCTCTAACATAGGGATGGGATCTTCAGGGTTTTAATGTTTTCTAACTCAATGAGACTATATTTGGATGGGATCTTGTCGTAAGTGCTATGTGGAGACGTCTTTCCTCATGGATTAAATTGATTCTTTGCACAAGTTAGAGCTCATATTTTGTAAATGGATCCAATCTGTCCTATTAATAAAGTTTCTGCTCTTGTTTCTCAAGAGAAACATCAAAAGAATATGAACGTAGTCTCCAATGGCGGAGATTCCGTGACATTTTCTGTAAAATTTGAAGACTCCAAAGCACATTGATTTCACGGCTCCAATTAATAAGGGGCAGAAAAGGGGAGACCAATTTGTACTCTTTGTGGTTTTTCTATTCATGGCTTAMGCTCACGAGAAATGTTATAAGCTACAYGGTTACCTTCCTAGATATRAGCAAAGAGAAACCTGGACATAATCTAACAAGGAAGAAGGCCACACCTGTTAACCAAAGCTATGGACGGCGGTTCTTCGAAAGCTTCTTCATCCTGATGAAGCGTTGGATATTTTGTTCAGACGTTTAAATCTGAATACACTCTAGAATTACGGCTGATAGAATTTGAATAATACTTAGTGCTTACTGATCAACATCCATTTCTTATTGAACACCGTTAAATAATATCCTTGCTTCTAAGGGAAGGATCCAGTCAGTTTCCTTATGTTCGACATCCTGAAAAAAGTTCAGTAGTGGGAGAATAAGGGCTTAGATTTTTCAATCTCAAGTTCCCGTTTCAGTTTTGGGGTGGGTTTATTCTTACAGCGACATTCCTTATCAATAAGGCATCCTATCCTGATTGACAAGATAAACTCCTTTTCAATTACATTGTGACCCACGAATGGATTATAATTCTCTCTGGGTTTTTGGTTGCTTAAACTTTGCTTCCTTCTAACCGAGCCAAGTTTTGACCAACTTAAACATTCTATAGGTTGCAGATGCATTTATTAGATTGATTATAAATAAGATGGAAATACGAGGAAAATGTAAGCTCATTAAGATATACACTATAAGAAGGTAGGGATTTCTTTAAAAAAATTTCCTGCGGCGGAGCTTGCCACTGTGAACATTCTTCTTATGATCGCATCTATTTGTAATTGGCCACTTGAGCAACTTGATGCAAAGTATGTATTTTTCGCTGGTAATAAATTTTAGAAGATTCTGTGGATATACCTTTAGGTTTTCCTATAGCGATTCATGGGGGGATCCCTTGGTTTCTAAGGTTCACAAATCCATCTATGATATCAAAGAAGCTTCGGGAAAATGGTTCTCTAAATTTTTTCTCTGCTATTCTTGTTCCTGGTTTTCAAAATTTATTAGCCTAGCACTCGTTGGTCACCAAGTGTTCAGGATCTTTTAAAAAGGACAAAATTATTAGTCTATGCCATCGATATTACAGTTGCTGGATCTGATGTGAGTGGCCCTGGATTTTGGAAGTTTTCTTAAATGGATAGCTCAAGCTTGAGGATCTTGGTAGTTAGAAATTTATCTTCGTCCGGAGATTTGATCTCGTAGACGTATATATCTTTCTAAATGTCATTAGACTCCTCAATTACTTTATTCTGATTCATGATGTTTTTTGGTAGATCCTAAAATTCAGTAAAGTTCTTTTGATGGTGATGTTCTTAATGATGCTTCTTCATATTGGCATTTAGCTGGAAGGCTTCTCTATCTGACAATATCAGGACCGGAGGGAGTGAAGAATAAACCTACTTTGTGTTGCCTCTCGAATAGACTTAGCAAAACCCACTGTGAACATGCACGTACGTCCTAGCTTCACTTTCAACACTCAATCGATTATTTCGCTAGTGTCAAGAATTGTTTAGACATTTTAGGGCCGATTGACTTCTATTTTGTGGAAAGGATGAAAATAGATGTTATTGTCTAGCGCCGAGAAGGCAGTAGCACCAATGAATTAACGCCATGACGGCTTAAGAATTCAGGTTCACAGATCAGAAGMTAAAAAGCCATAATAGTCATTCCGTTCGGCTCTACTCAAAGGATTGTTAGTTAAATAGGCGAGCAGATAATTCAGCAGCGCATTTTGCTGCTTAACGAAAATATCAAAATATTTTTGTCAAGAAATGGAGAAGATAGATTTGTAAGAGTACCTGACGCAGTATGCCGAATCCTTGTAGCTCGTGAGGATTCCTCAATAAAGTACTTCACAATTGACTATGTTTGAGTAGATGTTCCCTCCCTGTTAAGCAAAGGCAGTATTTGCAGAAAACAGAGCTCGGGGAAATTATCTGAAGCAAACTCGAGGAGGAATAAGGAAGTCAGAGTTGAAGAAAACGAAAAGTTCGAGCCACTTCAATCGAGCATGAGCTTTTAAATGATCCAACAGGAAAAGAACAAAAAATAGAAAATCTTAAAAGGTAAATGAAACTTTAGCATGATCCGTTTATCCTAGGGTCAATAATCTGAGATCAGTGAAGAATGAGCTTATTGCCAGTTCGTGAAGCTCAACATATTCGAAACCTCAATTCCGTTCGAACTCCTGCTTAGATACAAACGAGAAGTTCAATGAGTCAGAAATTGAACAAATGCAGCAGTCTCTAATAGTGATTATTTTTTCGAGGTTTAAGATACATACGCATTGAACCAATAACTAGCTTAGAACTCCGTACAATATGTGAGTTCTACTGTCGACGCCTCTGATTGTTGATTACTCGATCATCTACTTCCTTCCATGGGATAGAGTCAACAAAATCACGATTCAGAAGATCAAAAGTAATGTTGCTAATGACTAGATCATTAGCAGAGTACAACAGAGAAACTACTGAATAGGATAAATATAGCTCGGAATAATTTGTAAGAAGTACATGACGCACCGAATCTCAATAGCTCGTGAGGTCTCCTCCGATAAAGTACTCCAAAACTGATCATGTTTGAGCAGATATTTCCTCCTTGATTAAGCAGATGCAGTCAGTATTAACGGAAAACAAAATTCGGAGAAATTAGCTAACGTAAACTTGAGAATTAAGGAAGGTCAACGTAGGAGAAAATTAATAATTCTAATCTACTTCGATCGAGCATGAGCTTTAAGATGATCGAGCAGCAGAAAATGTAAAATAGAACAATGTTAAAGTAAATGAAATTTTAGTACGACCTGCGATCATGTGAAGCACAACATATTTCCCGCAGAAACATCAATCCCGTTCAAACTCCAGCTTAGATATAATGCAAAACCAAAAGTTCAACTAGTCCAAAATTGAACAGATGCAGCAGTTTCTTATGGTGATTACTTTTTCGATATTTCAGAAAAACATACGCCTCGGAGCAAACATCAGCTGAGAACTCCTTCTYCGCACAATAAGTAAGTTCTGTTGATTCGCTTCCTGCAGAATCTTGATCATCTACTGCACATCAACGCGCTTGATCGCCAATTAATCGATCGTCTTCTTCCTTCGGTATAGCTATGGAGTATTAGAAAGCACGATTTAGAATATCAAAACTATTGCTACCGGTGACTGGAAAATCAGCAGGGTACAACAGATAAATTCACGGATAGGCTGAAAATAAAGCTCGAAAAACTTAACCGAGTAATTTCCGCTGCCAATGGAATTGCTGGAGATGCTATAATCGCTCAACAGTTCCTCTGTTCGCTTTGCCATAAGGTTCCAAATGGAGAGGTCTACGATTTGAACAGTTCAACCGGAGGGAGAAATAGTAATAAAATTCTCGATAGGTGATGATTCGAGTTCCACGAGAGAGAATGTTGGCGATTCGCCATGGATGGGAGAATCGACTAGCAAATGAATGGGCGGGAACAGACAAGCGACGACTGAAATTGTGAAAATAATGGCGGTTTGTCAAACAACATTTTTAACAATTTTTTTTTTAAAGAACATTTTTAACAATTTTAATAATGAAGGTGAAATTTAAAATAAAAATATAAAATAAAATATGTTAAAGTACAACTTTTTCCCTATGGTTTAGCGTGGTTTTAATTTGACCCTTGTAGTTCTTTTTTCAATTTGGATCTTTATGGTTTGAATTTAGTTCACAGCTATGAGATTTATTTATTATATTTAGACTTAGGTCGCTTTAGAAATTCAACGACCAAAGTAAAATAGTATAAAAATTAGCATAAACAAAAATTTAAGATATACAAATTAAATTATAAGTTTTGGAAATTGATGTACCAAAATAAACTAACGGTGAAAATACAATAAACATAATAGTATTTGAACAAAACAGAAAGTTATAAAATAAAGTAGCATCTGCTATGCTGTCGTTACCTACATATTTCATTCTCCAGTTAGTGCATCAAATTTGTTTTATATAACCCATGTTATTCTATCTATTAATTGCATACTCTTTGCCAAAAGAATCAAATATCGTGGAAATTGTTAAAAAGACAATTAGAGTTGAATTAGATAATTTTAGGTGGACAAATATACTCTCCTAAATTTATTCGGTCATTACCCCTTCCAATTTGTGACGAAAATACCCTTGAAATAAATACACCTTAAATTTAGGAAACAAAATAGTGAATCAAAATTATAAAGTTCAAAAATTTTAAATAACATATACATTTAGAAAATTCGAAATTTGTAAGATAAAGTATTTTAAGTGTATGCTTTCAAATAAAAAAAATATAAAATTGAATCAAAATGTAAAATGGACTAACAAAAACATAAAATCAATTTAGAAAAGTGGAAAATGAATAAAAAATAAGATTGAAAAATCAAATACTGTTTTTAAAACTGTGGGAGGGGTATCCACATTGAGAGACACGATAATTAATACCAAATTCATGAACCGTCTCCTTATCCCCAAAAAACGTAATCGGAAAAAAAAAAGAACCTACAAAATAGGTTACAAATAAAGGTTAGGACAAACTAGAAACGCGGTGAAGCACCTAGACGAGGATGAAGCTAAGGTATTGGTTGTATATAATAATACCTACGTGGTACTGAAAATAGTTTACTTACACTACAATGAGCGACTTGTTTGCATCATTTTATTACTTAGTTTTTACCATTGGTTAAGTATAATCACTATCTAATATAGTGTAAATACGTATATAGACATAATAAAACAGAGTAAGTAAATAGGTGTATAGGAAGAATAAAGACGAAACATAGAGTAAGTAAAGATGCGTATAAACATAATAAAGACAGAGTAAGTAAAGAGACATATAGACATAATAAAAGACATAGTAAGTAAAGAGGTATATAGGCAAAATAATACAGAGTAAGTAAAGATACACACGGTACCTGAATTTTTCTCAATCAGCATGGCTGCAACAGACAATACGAGATAATGTGACTGCTCATTATGGCTACAATGTCTCGTGAGGAAGGAGACTCATTTTCTCTTCCAATCATTTTCTTCATCTTCTACTACTTTCTCTCAACTATCGATAATTATATTACCTTAAATATCAATTCATCCAATGTTTACTTCAAATTTGTACCAATTAGGATTCAAATGCATAAATTAAAATAGGGATCAAATGACACATTTTGTGGCAGGAAACTATTTAGGGAGAAGAAAAAATTCTTTAGTTCTTCCATCGTTTAATTGAATTTTTCTTATAATCTGAATGTTTACTAGATGAATTTCGATCACATAATTGAAGGCTCAAACTTTACAAGTCATTATCTACTCGATTTGTTGATCAATCCATGTCTAAAAGAACTTGAGATTCTTGGGTTGATAAAAATTTGGGATTATGAAACTTTTGTAATAATATTTAGGAGACACCATATTTAAGATGGTGATAATTGCAATGGAATTTACTGTCAAATTAGTTAGGTTGGTTATAAATTCTAATTAGATTATGTTGGAGATAAATTAATAATATTTTTAAAAAGTTTGAATGATATAGGTAGGTCGTTTGATAATATAGATTCGGTAGATGGATTTGACTGTTTGATAATGTGATTTCTAGGATGTAGGTGGTTCAAAAGTAAAGGGGTAAAATTGAGAACAGATTGCAAGAACAATATAGGCATGAAATATGTGTAGGGTAAATATGAACTTCTACCCCTTCCATAAATTTTAGGAAATCCAAGCATGATCATATATGCCTTACGAAAATTTTGACCATTTTTCATTATGATATATTGTACGTAGCCATTACTCATCATTTCCCTAATTGATAAATGATAACATCAATAACAATTTAGGGTTTAAAGTTTAGAGATCACATAGACACGAACACAAGGCTAGAATTGTAATTTACTTAACTTATGAGGGTTGTTTTGGTAATTTCATCCTCAATTTATTATTATTATTATTATTTTTGCCATCATTTATTTCCAATTAATCAGCGGGTGTAGCAAGAGAGGAATCCCGAGTGAAAACAATCGATACCGTAGAATTTGTATCGAACATCTCAGGCGAAGAGCCCTCACTTTCAACGTTATTACATTACCGATTTTCAAAATCACAAGAGAAATTCAGTGCTAATCCCTCTGGGCTTCTTCCGATGCCCAAACATCGCGTTTCCCTCAAATTTCTCCTCCCCCTCAACTCTAAACTCTGTGTTTCTGCTGCTTTCCAACTGAAAAAAAGCACAAGTAAGTAACCTATTTTATCGTTTTTCTTACTCTTCAGAAATGTCTGTTTATGATCATGTATAGGGTTTTGTTTAAATCCTCTTCTCAAATCGTCGTCTCCAACCTTCTGCAGATTTTGAGGGTATTTGATGCATGGGTTTGTACTTTTGACTAAAATGGATTCAATGGCGTTTTTGAAGTTTGTTGGTTTCTTGAATGTGGGTTTTGCCTGATTTGGGCTGAGTTAGGGTTTTACTGCGGGTTGGTTTTGCTGAGAGTTTCGTGAACTCTCTACTTTTTTTCTTGGAGAACTCCTGAAATTTTAGAATCGTAGCCGTTGTGGAATTTGGTCCGTTGACGGATTTTGCGATGAAGGCGTAGAAATATTTATTTAATTTGGTGCCATTTCAAGAGCGTAGAGCTTTAAGGTGGTTTCATGCATTCCTTTTACTCTAATGGAGTTTAGGGTTGGTGTTTGTAAAACGGATTGCGGAAGTTGATAACGGACAGCACCTCTACTAGCAGCCTGCATTTTATTTTTTGATTTTTGTTGATATGCATTTTTATTTTTCAAATCACATGATGGCTACCTTAGCTAGAATTTTTGAGTTCTACAAGTTTTATGATAATCAGATGTTATAGGATTAGGTAGATTTTTGTTTTGATATCCGTGAATGTATGCACCAACTTACATGTAATTGCCCAACCCTACAACTTTTGAATATCAAGAAACTTGTGGGATTTTATTATAGGTAAGCAGCCACAATGCAATGGGGTGTGAAGGTTGGGCATGCTTTTTTGTAATTTGGTTAGGGTGGGGTAAAGGTGTAGAAAGAGTGAGTTAGATAGGAAATAGTTGGGTACTCCTGGAGAGGATAAAACCTCTTGAAATTTTTTTGCTAACCTTGCACCCATCTCTTCACATCACTAGTAAGTAGTAATTGTCAGAATGGAAGGAGTTTAATCAAATTGGTGTCAGAGAATTTCCCCTAGGCATGCCAATGGGAAAGATAGTTGATAATATAAAGGAGTATGTGGTAGGATGGTAGGGCGTGGTGGTAGAGGAAGTGTAGAAAATAAAATACGAATCATGGAGAGAAATAGTGTTGCATTATTAGAAGGGATGGCCATGCCTCATCGTTGCAATGGCTAGAGGAGTAGGATGGTGGTATAATTGCTTATGATCGTTAAGACTTAAGAGGGCCAAAGCGTTGGAGTGGACGCTTGAAGATGAGGCATCTGCATCAAGTGAGCCGAATAAGAGAGGAGCTGAGGCGAATAAGGCATTGTATAAGTGACTAGAATTGCATCTTTTTGATGGCCTACAATATGGTTACCAAGATTAGTGCTACTGTGAAAGTTGAATAGGATGGCAGGAGAGAAGCATATGGAGGCGTTGGTGGTGTGCTTAACTAGGGAGCCATTAGTTCAATTCGAGTTGATTGAGAGTTGGAAGTGAATTAGAACTTGGATGGAGTTCAAAAAACTTGCCCCCTCAGGCCTATTTCAATCTCTTCTAGAAGGGACCTTGTATGAAAGGCAATTCATATTAGGACTGGTGATTAGTGTGAGGGGTTATCACCTACAGTTTGAAATCTCTCAAATGAAGTGTTGGTGGGAAGCTTCCTTAATGCTATGCTACAAGCTTTTTTTTATTTATTTATATATATATATATATATATATATATATATCCGTGAGTGTCCCGGCCAGCTTACGCGCACCTCGACTAATCTCACGGGGCAACCACCTGACCCCACAACATTTGGTGCCGGGAAATACATAGGAATTACTAATTCCTAAGGTAGGTGGCCATCATGGGATTTGAACCTATTCCCTCTTAATTACCCTAGTCTCTTTGGATCGACGGTATGACTACAAGCTTAAGGATGAGTTGCAGGTTTTCCAGCCTGTGAACCTGGTATAAGGAAGGTGATGGGGAGAAAGACCAGAATGGCAAAGTGAAAGAGAATGTAGGAGAGATTTATGAAGTAGTGGCAATAGTGAAGCCGTGGTTGAACTCGATATGATTGTTGGAATCATTAGACAATCCCCAGTAGGCATCAAATTCGCCTTCAGCCTCTGCACAACAACTCCAAGCTACTCCATTAAGAGTTGACCTCACTGGTCTGATAGGTGTCTAGAGCAATTATGATTTATTTGTAAGACAGGGAGAGGTTCTATGATAGTTTTGGAAGATCCTGTGTTAATTTCTCAAGGGTAAGTCTTATGACTTTCTATTAGATTCTATTTCTTCTATAGCCCTATATTGATGTAAAAAATTATCTCTCCTTTTATTAACTATATTTTAAATATAATTTTGGTCATTTGGAAGAGCTGTTTGTAATCTTCTTTGGCTTGAGGCTTGACCTTCCTCTTCGATTGTAATTTCACTTTCATATCACTTATGATATTGTTTCTCATCCTTAAAAAAATGGTAAGACAGGATTTTTTATCTCATAATTTTCAGAATTAGACAACTCCTAGAAAATTAGAACTGGAAACTTATTGAGTTATTTTATTTTTATTTTTAAAAATTTTTACCGCTGAAATATCACGAGAACAGAGAGAAATGAAATATGATTTGAGATGGACTATAATTTTTATTGGACTGATGATTGGGTTATTGATTAGTATGCTTATAAGAACTGAACATCTGTCCATTTGCTAGGAATGATTTATTTTATGGATTGATCTTCCATGTGCTTAATTTTTTTTTAGATTATTTTTTAATTGGTGTAACTTGCTTCAAACTGTAGCGACCGACTTTATTTGAGATCTGCGTGCTTTGGGCATGGTTTAGAAGCATCGGCAATTTGCCTGAACATGCAGCTTAACTTAGCGAGGACGATAATACAAGCATCTGCTGTTATGTAAAAGTCAATTTGCATTGCGTATTTTGTATTCGAGTCATTTGAGTGAGGTTGATAATTATATGAGTTATGGATTGCAACAAAGAAGAAGCCATTAGAGCAAGGGATATTGCTGAGAAGAAGATGGAAAGCAAAGATTTCACTGGGGCTCGTAAATTCATTCTCAGGGCTCAACAGCTAAATCCTGATGCGGAGAATATTTCACAAATGCTTATGGTCTGTGATGTGCATTGCGCAGCAGAGAAGAAACTGCTTGGGAATGAGATGGACTGGTACGGCATCCTTCAGATTGAGCAAACGGCAAATGAGGCGACAATCAGGAAGCAATACCGGAAGTATGCTCTTCTTCTCCATCCGGACAAAAACAAATTTATTGGTGCAGAAGCTGCTTTCAAGTTGGTCGGTGAAGCTCAAAGAGTGTTGTTGGACCAAGAGAAACGCCGGTTGCATGACATGAGATGCAAACCAGCAGTACCTTATCGACCTCCACAAAGAGCTGGTTCGACTTTTAATGTTGGGGTTCAAGCTAACTTCAGAGGCAACTTTACGGCCTTCACTCCTCAACATCCACAGCCTCAACCCCAAGGACATTCGGGTTTTGGTCAAAACCGTGCAACTTTTTGGACCGTCTGCCCATTTTGTTCAGTGAGGTACCAGTACTATAAAGAAGTCGTCAATAGATCGCTTTGCTGTCAGAATTGCAAGAAGCCCTTTGTTGCATATGATATGGAACTGCAAGGGGCTCACCCTCAGCCTATGTCTAACTTGCACCACACAACATTTTTTCAGCAGCAGAATTCCTTCAATCACAGGGCTGAGATGGGACACCCAGGAAACTCTCAGTCTGAGAAGCGTAGAATGGAATCTCTCCGGAGGACGCACAACACTTCAGGTGCTGCTTCAGAAAAGTTATATGGTAAGAAAAGAAGGAAGCAGACATCTGAATCCAGTGAGAGTTGTGATACTGGAAGTAGCTCCGATTTTGAAGAAAATGTAGTTACTAATGAAGATAGCAAAAAGGATGTTGGACGCCCTGGAGCGCACCATCCACGGAGATCTAGTCGACAGAGGCATAAGATTTCTTACAATGAGAATTTAAGTGACGACGACTCTGTGATCACTCCAAAAAAATCAAAGAGAAGCAAATCGTCCGACAGCTCAGATGAGGACAGTGAAGAAGTATATGTAGACGAGGCATCTAAAATCAATAATCAATCTGGATCTGCTGATGTGGATGATGATCAGAGGGAAACAAATAAGCTAGGACATAATTGCTCTGAAGCGAGCTTATCGCGTAGAAGCAAGGGTGGTAAGAAGGTGAGCCATAAAGAAACATTAGATAACGATTATTCTCAGAGAAGCATGGGGTCAGCTGGTGATCCCGAGGTTAATTTGTTCTCATGTTCTGATCCTGATTTCAATGATTTTGATAAACTACGGAACCGAGAGTGTTTCAAACTTGGGCAGATCTGGGCTATGTATGATAATATTGATACTATGCCTAGATTCTATGCTCGGGTCAAGAAAGTGTTTCCTTCTGGATTCAAGGTTCAGATCACCTGGCTAGAGCCAGAAGCTAATGATGAGTGCCAAAGCAAATGTGTTGATGAAAAAGTGCCAGTTTCTTGTGGTGAATTTGTATCTGGAGCAACTGAGACCATGACAGATTGTGGCTCGATGTTTTCTCATGCTGTTTCTTTGGTCAAAGGCGGCCGTAAAGATATTTTCAAAATTTATCCTAGGAAAGGGCAAATTTGGGCTCTCTTCAAAAACTGGGATAAGAATTACAACCGTGATTCCAATTGCCAGTATGAGTATGAGTTTGCTGAGACATTGTCAGAATATAGCAAAGAATCTGGTATAGATGTTGCACTCCTAGCCAAGGTGAAAGGCTTTTCGTGTCTCTTTTGTCGAATGGTCAAGGAAGGAGAAAATTCGTTTAGAGTCCCTGCAGCTGAATTATTCAGGTTCTCCCACCAGGTTCCTTCGTTTCCACTCACAGGCGATGAAAGAGATGATGTTCCGGAAGGTTCTTTTGAACTTGATCCAGCCGCTCTTCCCCCCAATGTTCCGGAGATCGCCATCCCCCAGCATTTAAAGAAGGTGGCTGCCAATGCTGGTCTTAACACATTGAAGTCCACGGCGGGGCCTAATGGAGATGCAGGCACACACAAAGCCGATGCTGATACTAAAAGCGACGATGGTGATGTGGCTGAGGCTTATGAGATTCCAGACCCTGAATTCCACAACTTCGATGTTGATAAAACTTCTGAGAAGTTTCGGGTTGGTCAGGTCTGGGCATTGTACAGTGATGAGGATGCCTTACCGAAGTATTATGCTCAGATCAAGAAAATAACTCACAAACCGGAGTTCGAATTGAGATTGTTGTGGCTGGAGTCCTCTGAACTGCCAGACGATACTATTGAATGGCACGATAAAAGTATGCCGATTTCTTGTGGGAGATTTAGAACTCAGAGGACTAAGATGCACAGCTACTACTCCACCAAATCCTTTTCTCATCTGGTTAGAACTATTCCTGTTCCTAAGAATGGGTTCTACATCTCTCCTTCATTGGGTGAGGTTTGGGCATTATACAAGAACTGGACCCCTGAAATCAGATGTTCAGATATGGATAAATGTGAATATGTTATAGTAGAAGTCATTGAGGACGACGATTTGCAAAAAGAAGTCTTGGTCTTGGACCGCGTCCATGGTTTCAACTCGGTCTTCAAGGCTAAGACCAAAGGTGATTCTTCAACCGTCACTATGGTAATTACCCGAGTCGAGCTTCTACGATTTTCCCACCGGATTCCCGCTTTTCGGCTGACAGATGAGAGGGGCGGTAGCTTGAGAGGTTGCTTGGAGCTTGATCCTGCCGCTTTACCGATATATTTTTTTTATTGACCCGATCAGGCAGGACGATAAAAACCATAGGCAGCAATGCCATTGTATACCTCTGTATCTAATAGCCTCAACGGAGCCTTTGTGCAATGAACTGAACCGAAATGAAGCGTTTTTTAAGAGATGCCTTGGCAAACAACAGCTTGTTTAGATGAGGAGTCTGTGCTGGTTTCGATCCACACTGGCTTTGGGAGAAAGAGAAGTTTTCTCGCTCATATTACTCTGGGTTTGTTCTAACATTTTCAATTATCATTGTGAAATCACCCTTAATTTTGTTTGTAGCTAGCTGGACCTTATTTGCCAAGGAAAATATGATGAATTTCTTCACTTAACAAAATGAAATGTTAAAATTATGTGTCCATCTTTCTCCTACAGATTTGTCATCCAAATTTGCTGCTGATGAATTACTGGAAACTCGCCCCTCCACATTATACTTTGTTCTAAGTTGGAAGGCAAAACATACATTACCACGAGTTCTTAGAATAGTTATCTGAGTTTATTTGATGGCTGGTAAGATTTTCTTATTGGTTTTCTTTACTTTTTTTTCTATTCGACTTCTAAAATAATCAACGGATGAAAATTAGATGTATTTTAATTGATTGAGATATGACTTTTTAGATCATTTAGATAAAGAGTGGAGAATTGAATGGGCAATTCTTTTGGTAATATATATATATTTTTTCTTTTATCTTGTTTTTGTTTTCTATTTCTTATTTTTCATTTTCTCTTTTAATAAATAAAAACAATATTGCATTTGGTAATTTAAAATATTTAAGTCCTGATTGATGAAGGGTAGTGGTGGATTGCTCTACATTCAACCACGTCATTACGACCCTCAAAGCAATACAGCCCTTAGTTGGGTGAGGTTGTGTGTGAGCCAAATGACGTAGGTGTACAAGAGTACTTTGTGCCACAACCATCATTGAGTGCGTAGATTTTCTTTTGTAGTTGGTTTTAAATTCAGTTTAAAAAACTCTTCCATTCCATAACATAACGGGGTGAGGTAATGTGCCGGTTAAGCAAATCAACAAACTGAAGTATCTTATAACAACTAAGTGAGATAAATGCACCACATAACCCTACTAAATATTTGACTAAGAGAAATAAATGCAAAAATTAAAATAATTTTTAAAAAATTAATGAGTTGACAATTTTTCAATGATGATTAGTATAAATATATATTTTGATACAGCCTTAAATATTTTTAATCTATCCTAAATTATATCACAAAGGATTTTTCTAAATATTTTATAATCTCTCCGAGAATTTAACTTTGAGAAATTATGATGATCAAGGGCGAGAAACTATTGAAAATTTTGTTATCGGAAGAACAAAATCAAAAGCGATAAAAATTTTTCTTCAACATTCAAACGGAAAAAAAAAAATTTAGTTTTAATTTTAAGTTAGAGCCCGTTAGATTTCTGATTTTGGTTTTTAAAAACAAAAATCACATATTAATAACTTTTTTGTAGAGAGAAAACAAGTGTTTTAGAAGAAAAAATTTAGGTAGGAAAAAAATTTAGAACCTCAAAGAAATTTGTTATAGATATTATGTCAAGAATAAATGTTGAACATTAAAAAGAAAAGTGAGATTTTAAACAACATACCTTTATTTTTAAAAACTACTTTTTTTTTTTCGTTTTCCAAATTTATTTAAAATTTAAAAGGTGATTTTTTGAATTGGTTACCGAAAATTTATTTTTTCAAAGCTTAAAAACAAAATAGTTACCAAACCTCCCTTATTTTCCTACTTCTGTAATC